CCGTTTTCCTGAATTTGACTTGGGGTTTATGAAGCTATTTCTAAGCAAGGCTATTATCACATTTCCCTCTCTGTTGCTACCTTGCCTTACTTAATAAAAAAATAATGACACACATGCACACACACAAAGTTGTTATGCTGAGGCTGTTGTAAGTGGTCTGTGGGATGAATTTCCTGCCATGCCATTCAAGTTACTATGAGAGATATGGAGAACTTCAACTGTACCATACACAGAGATGGAATTTCAACTTCAGTGAATATTTCAATATCTTTATGACAATTTTAAGGGCTCTTGTGGTGCTATGGTTATGAGCTCAGCTGCTGAATGGTTGACAGTTCGGGCCCACTTAGTAGCTCTGCTTACATTCTTTGGATATATTGTCAGGAGACATCAGTCCCTGGACAAGGTCAAGTAAAGTGGAGGGGCAGCAAACAGAGGAAGGCCCTCAAAGAGATGGATGGACACAGCGTCTGCAACGATGGGCTCAGGCACAGGAACACTTGTGAGGATGGCTCAGGACTGGGCAGCATTTCCTTTGATTGTGAATAAGGCCACTGTGAGTCAGAGCTGCCTTGCTGGCACCTAACAGCAGCTAACAGTAGCTCTGCAGGAAAACATCCTGGCCAGTTGAAATAGACATGATGGCATTTAACAACAACATGAAACTGTTAGGATACACTACTGGTGCCTCTTTTCACTGATACAGCCAAGGACAGGACACCGGTCACTCAAGTCCCCCTCCCCTCCCTACAACATCCTACTCCTCTGTTCTACAGCTTTCCTTGAGCACGTGACACACACACACACACACACACACTCTCTCTCTCTCTCTCACACACACACACACACACACACACACAGCATGGTGTGCTATGATACAATGATGTACCAGTCCCTGTTTAAGTAAGGGGTTAGAGAAGGCTGCTTAGAAGACCTTGTCCCTAACCTAAGTCTTAACAGATAAGCTGAGAAAAGCTGAGAAAAGCCTATCTGGAAGAGACCACAGTTAGTGTGAGGCATATGTGCAGGGGAGAAGATGGCTTGTTTGGATAACTTACAAATAGGTTAGCATGTTTGAGGCTCAGATAGTTCAGAGATATGGTTAGAGAGATAAGCAAGGGTAAAGTTATGGAGAGCTTTTCAGGGCATGTTGATAAATTTGGGCTTCATCCTGAAAGTTGAGGGCAGCCTCTGAAGGGAAAAGTTTGTAATTATCATGGAAGGTATGAGGGGGCTTCAGAAAGTTTGGAGAAAAATGGAATGAAAAGATAATGGCTTTTCACATGTTTTTAAAAGTCCCCATGTGTCTAAATGACATCTTCCACCAAAAGGAACAAAGCCTTGGGTAGATGATTGACTCCAGCTCAGAGGAAGAAGATACATGAGATGCTCCTGGAATATCCTGTCCTGTCAGATATCAAGAAGATCAAGGTGATTAGGATGAGGTCAGAAGGAGGCCAGAGTCAAGGGGAGTGATGGCAACTGCTTCCTAGCTGCCATTTTAAAACTCCTTTCTCTCTTAAATTAATCCCCCCTCCCCCTCTCACTCTCTCTCTCTCTCTCTCACACACACCCCAGATGACTTCCCAGCCATATCCCTTTTAATATAAATTAATTTGACCTCTTTAGTGTCTCCAATGCCAGTGACACCAATACTCAGACAGAAGGTTTTTCAAACACAGGAGCTGGGGTGAAGCCCATGGGACAGGAAGCTGTGTTTCCAGGTGGCTTGGAGTCCATGCTAACTCAAAGTGCCCTGCTATGACAGAGTAGAATTGCCCCATAAGTCTTCCCAGGCTGTAGTCTTGCCAAAAACACTTAGATAGGTCTTCTAATTTTCAGTTTACAGCCAAGTTCTTGCTTAATTCTTGTGCCATAAGGGATCCTTGAAGTATGACTACTCATAATATTCTTGTGTCTTTTTTCACATGTATTATAATCTATTTGGTTATCTTTAAGCCATAAGTCCTCTGAAGAAAGTGGCTATATTTTTATTCATCTTCTATTTCTTAGCACACTGTGTTATCCAAAGAATGAACCCAAGAGATATGCTAGGGGTGGGGGTGGGAGGGGATGAAGGGGAGCTGATATCAAAGAGTTCAAGAAAAAAGAAAATGTTCTGAAACTGCTGGTGGTTGGCAATTGTACAATTATGCTTGATCTAATTGAATTATAGACTGTCATAATATCTGTAAGAGCTCCCAATAAAACGTTATTTTAAAAAGAAAGACCTGGCTTTCTTTTAAACTCATCTGTATGGAGTGCAATTCACTCAGACACACCTGCTGGTTACCATGATGCGGAGCTTACTTAAGGGTAACTGACAGGGATAAGATTGATTTGAGATTCTGGAACTCATCTGAACCTTAAAGATGAGTTGAAATTATAGGGTCAGTGGGTCAAGGTCATTGTGCTTGAGCTGAGTGGTGAGGGATGTTTACAATTCTGTCATGTGGTGAAATGCCCAGTTAAGTTATCCTAACAAGTAAGTGTCACACTAAGAAGAGTTCTTAAATAGGAGATATTTGCCCTTACGGCTTCCAGCTATCCTACTTGGAGATTTTTTCACTTTTGGGCTTTTCCTGTACAATTTTGAAAACCCTATAGGGCAGTTTTACTCTGTCCTGAAGGATTGTTATCAGTTGAAATGAACTTGGTTCGGGTTTTTTTCATTGATTTCTCTTAGGATTTAATCTCCTTATCTCCCCATCCCCCTTAACAGAATTTATGCACAGGTTGAAAAATCAAACTCAAACCAAACCCTACAATCCATTCATTCTAATTTGTAAATGCTTGAATACTGCTTTCTAACTTTCATTGTGTGGTGGTTTTGATTTTAATAGGGAGACAAGAAAGCACTTATTAGCTAAATAACAGAGTCTGAATCTTGGAGTGATTTTACATAGTAGATTAATGAAGGGGCGGAAGGCATTTGGGGTCAGAAAACTCTCTGACCTTCTCAGAATCACAGCAGCTAGAAGGTCACCTGTGTGGTGGAACAAGGATTGCCGCAGATGCAGCTACACTGAAATCTAATCTTTATCATTTCATCTCCTTTTTGACTTATTTACAATTTGTTCTAGTTCTTGATAGTTCCTGCTTTCTTTTCAGTTGAGGAACATCTTTGGTTTATTTATCCATTATTTATTTTTGCTGGTTCTTTTGCATGTTTTCCTGTGTGGGGGATCTGGGATAGGTAGATCTATAGTGATAGTAACTGAATTAATGGCTTATTGAGGGTGTGGCTGGGAGGTGGGGGAAATGGGCAGCTGCTGACAGTGGGTGCAAGAAGGAAGAAGGTGTTCTGGACCTATTTGATTGTGGTGATGATTGTGCAACTCTTTTTTAATATGATTGAACTATTGAATTTTGTGATGTGAATTATTTGTCAGAGGAACTATTAAGAAGAAGAAGAAGGAGGAGGAGGACGAGGAGGAGGAGGAGGAGGAGGAGAAGAAGAAGAAGAAGAAGAAGAAGAAGAAGAAGAAGAAGAAGAAGAAGAAGAAGAAGGTGGTCCTGGAATTGATTGTAGGGATGGTCGCACAACTCTTAAGAATTTGATTGATCTCTTGAAATATATGAGATATGCATTGTGTTAGTGAAATTGCTAACAATAAACTATTAAAAATTTAAAAGTCACCTGTACAATGTATGCCAAGAGAGCTTCTTTGGAAGTCAGGCAAGAGGATGGGGCCAGTGAGCTTGGTTTTGGAGGCATTTGGTTCTTAGATGTCAATATAACCTCAGCCTTAATATAATGTATTAAGTTCATTGCCAATGAGTTGATTCTGACTCACAGTGAATGTGTTAGGCCGGTTGACTAGAGAAACAAATCCAGAGACACTCGTATACGTGTAAGAAAATACTTTATAGCAAGAAGTAATTATATATCAAGAAAATATCCCAGCCCAGTCCAACTCAAGTCCATAAGGCCAATACTAGACCCTAAGTCCCTCTTAAGACACATGCAGCCACATACAGTGATGCAGAATGCAGTAGTATTACAGGCTGGTGGGTGCAAAGTCATGTGGATCCAATGGCAGTGGAAGCATCATGGGGCTCTGGCAGCATCCAAAGTCAGCCAGAAGAAAGGTGAAGGCAGAGAGAGAAGGGACTTCCTATGAGAAGGCCACACCCACCAGGAGGCAACTGATTGACAGATTGAATATTACCCCTACACTTTTATATATCTTCAGGTTGGCATGAAATTACATAGCTACCACAACAACACTGTACAGAGCTTTAAAGAATTTAAATTTTATGAGAGCAGACATCCATATGGTGGGTTGGAACCATTAACTTTGTAGTAAGCAGTCCAAAGCTTATTGTACAGTGCCAACAAGGGTCCTCTAATATAGTATAGTGATTTCTTATCTCTGTACACTATAACTTTAGAGTAACTCATCATAATTTTGGAAGTCTATTGCACTCTTTTCTTTAGTTGTTTCTGTATAATGCAAGAAAAGGTTGGCAAATGAGCTTCATAAAGGAAAAGTAATTTTACATGTTTTAGTTTTTAATTAATTAATATATAAAATATTTTTCCTTGTGCCTTTTATCTCCTGTGTTATAAACTAAAGTTCTCATGTCTTGTGAGTATTTGATAGAATTACTTGAAAGAAAGTATAATCTGGAAGATAAAAATCAATGATAAAGGAACATTTTATTTACAACTTCACATAAGAAGAATCTAGCTGTGTGAAAGCAATGTAAGTGCAGACTTTAAAAATATGTTGTGAAAATGATTGTTAAGACTATCATGAGATTCCTTTTAATAATAGACTTTCCTGTGCATTCATACTGCTATATTTTCAGTAAAACTTAATGTATACTCTTTTTCCAGAGTAAATACATTTGTAAAATGGATCCGGATAACATTTTCAATAGTAGTATTAGTTAATGCTGGATATAGGGAATCGATTTGAAACTAAAAGATTGTAGAATATACTGTAGGATAAATAGGAACTATGACATGCTTTTCCCATTTAATGTTCATTCATTTACTTCCGCTTACCATGATGAATATATTTAAAGTATGATAATCCAGCAGCAAGAAATGCAAGTCCAAGTGGTGCTATCTTAATCCAAGAGAGCTGTGAAGACGAAGGACTGCATTCGCTAGTGACACCCGTCCTCATGGGCTTGATGATTCGCTCTCTCTGGGTCAGGATGGCCCTCCGGGCTCCGTCCCATTTCCCTGGGCCCCGCAGACGGTATTGGTAAGGGGTGCAGGGGCCAAAGAAAACTTCCATGGCCAGCTTTGGGTCTGAGAGGAAGAGCGAGAGAAGGTTGGGCTTCACCCCCACCAGAGTGGCGATCTCATCCATGTACTTAATATAATCTACTTGGATTGTGTGACGTGGAGTCTTCACATACCTGCAGCAAAAGAAAGAGAGAGCGGGGAGGGGGGTACTCAGAGACTCCAGCACTGGAAGGACAGAGACTTGTATGCTTAGAAAATGACAGGAAGTTTTACAACTTCAACTCAATTCAACCAACCAACCAGTTACTGTCATGGAGTCTAAAAATGGCAATTTTATGTGTGCATAGTACCAGTTCCATAGGGCTTTGATTTTTTGTTGTGGTCTTTGGAAAGTAGATTACGAGGCCTGTCTTCTGACAGTTCTCTGGGTGGCTTTGAATGGCCAACATTTCTGGCTAGTAGCTGATGGCTTAGCCATTTGTAACGTCCAGGGGCTCCTTCTATTCACATTCGAGATGAGGAAACAGAGAAATAGGAAGCTGAAGTGACATACCCAACACCACCAAGTTGTTTGATGGCCAAGTGAACACAGAACCTAAGTGTCCATACTCCAGGTCCATCCATGTTTGACTGTGCCTTAGTGACTAAACTACAGCTTGATTTTAGCAGTGATTCCCTATTCTTTAAGCTACTCATTTTTTGGCTGTGTTCCATTTAAATATATTCCTGTCTATTGTACAGTAGGATGGAGAACTCTTAATTGATAGCCCTGAAAATATCAGCAGTCAGCTAGGGAATGGATCTCCACATTGTCATTGACCACTGGTCCCACTGGACCACTGCTTAGTGGGTGTAGCAGGGTACAGGTGTCCTGAGTGTAGCCTCCTTTGCAGAGGGCCTCTGTTGGACACAACAGCTGTTTGGTTCACTCTCCATTGACCTAGATGTTTCAATTCTGTCCATGCATAACACGATGCAAGCCCACAGACTGCGGAAACCCAGAGGTCCAATTCGCATCGTAGAAGATGTGGATTTTATTTTTTATTATGATATTTCCCCAGCATTGGGAAGTTAAATGTCTTGAAAAGGTGTGCCTTTGGAAGAAAATGAAAACAAAACAGTGAAAATGGTATTCTTGGGAGAGCAGTGGCCCGTGCCCGTCTAGTGTACATCACGGGGCAGATGCAGCATGACTTCCGTGTTACCAGATGCATAAGTGTCATCTTACTGGTGTGCGGGAGCTGGAATTTCTCCTGAAGCACGGAACATTGGGGAATTTGCCATTGGTCTATGTTCCTCAAGTCTTAGCAAAAAGGCTGTTTTCAGACATGGATAATAAGTAGAAACAATACACATTGTTACCAATTTTCTCTCTCTCCATTTACTTTATGCATAATCTGATTTGAAATGCTGAGCAAAATGCATAGCTTTTTAGGCATGCTATACATTTTGAATGAATGGATTAGAAACATTTTACCTCATCTCTTTCCAATTACTGAAAGGTATGCCCCTTAAATTTTCTTTTTTTTTGGTGGTGGTGGGGAATTTATTTACTTAAATTTCATGTGTCAAATTCTTATAAAGTACTGTATCAACTTGTCTTTAGGATACCAATATTAGACTGGGACATTTTCTTTTCATCTGGATTTATTTGAAGTTCATTTAGTCATTCTGCTTCTAAACACACCTAAGCTGCCAAATTAGAAAACTGCTTCTGCCATGAGAATTTTGAAATTAACTTTCCACCACATTTTTATCTTAAATTGCTACTGGGAGTGGGGGTAATTCATTTAGCAGACACTTTAAAGTTAGGCAAAGATTATTGTCAGTCAAAATATTGTGCAAGACTGTTTGCTTATGTGGCAGCCGTAGGGCTGCACTTAACTCATGACGACAAAAGCACACTGGCATTGAATAACTTGTAGCATCAGATTACAAAATCTGGTCTTAAGTAAAAAATATTTAAGGTTAACAGGATCTTTTTAATAGTTAATATTTGGGCTTAAGGGGGAAAAGGTTACGAATATACTCATGTATAAGTAGAGTTTTTCTGTATATTTTTAATGTAGTTTTTGTGTTAAAATTAGGTGCCTTGGCTGATATTTGGGTCAGCTTACACTCCAGTATATATGGTATGTGCTATATTTCACATCTCTTAAAAACAGAAAGTGTTTTAGCAGCTTAAACTTTTTTCATTATAAGACATCTTACCCTATAATTTTCTTTGAAATATAACTTACAACCAGATCAATTAGAACATACATACACTGGCACTTTAGCACAAAGGCAAACTTTAAAAAAAATTTGAACCTTTAAAATTAGGCTATAGTATAAAAAGTCTATGGTCTTGCATTCAGCAAATCATACTAAAATAGTCTTGTAGCATAAAAGCCAACAAAACTTTATATATGCCACAAGTTTATCACATTATTTACATGGCTCTTACTTTCCTAGATACTTAAAACTCCTGTTTTACAACCCTGCACTTGCAGCAAGCTTTGCAGGATGGTTCTTAGGCCAGATCACTGTCAGTAGCTCGTGCAGTGCTAGAATACAAGTGTATTTTGAAAGCTATTCAGCAGTCAGTCAATACTGTGTGGAAAATATTTTTGGTGCATTTGTTAATAGACACCCTTCTACTACACATTAAGAAACGGGGCTCTTGGTGTGTACTATGCCTGTTAAGTAAGGCCCTAGGGCCCTTTCCACATTCACCACTAATTACTAAAATACAACTATACACTAAGAAAAAAATTCACATTTTCTTCTAGCAATACATCAAGTTGGCCTATTACTGGTCAAGTGTTTCTAGAACACTAAACCTTCAAGGTTTTCAACCCTAGTTTGTTGAAGCTAGATGCTTATCTCATCCACTTGTTTTCAACAAGTAAATTTGATGCATGAATGATAAATTAGTATTTTCTCTAATAAAAAATAGAAAAGCTTGATTCATCACTTCCACAATCTAAACTGGAATGGTTTCACAATTAAGGGTTGTCAAATGAAAACATAATTATCAAGTAAATATTGTCATAAGTTGCACTGATAAAATCATTATATCACAGTGCACATAAAACGAGTCTAATCGTTTTCTATATTAGTTTTACAGACATAGATTAATTTGCTAGTGAATTTGTTTCAGACCCACTATTTTTAGGATGATACTTAAATGTAAACATGAGTACTTATTTTATACCTGTACTTTAAGTAAGGTTTTCAGTTGAAATGTCATCATTTCTTTATCAGAAGGATTAAAGGAAACAGGAACCCAGTGGTTTGGGGGTTGAGGGAGAACACCTGGGGATGGTGGCTCACTAAATTTGGCTCCAGTGTAGTTCTGGTTTGTTTGAGACTTCAAAAGTAGGTTGGGGTTTGATAAGCTAGAGTTCCAGTTTTGATGATTTGGAAAATGTACTTTGTTCTTCCCCGACTTTGCATGGCCTGCCATGCAACTGCTGATGGGTTGTAGCCCTGTCCTCTCTCTCTTTTCTTATGAGCAGTCTTCACCTGGGAATTCTGATCCTTGGTCTTCTGCGTATTAAGCTGTTGCTGGTTCTTGCTCACATTTCTAGATTGGGGGATTGCAATGTTAAACCTCTCTCCACCACCCATCTTCAGCTTCTCTGTCACCTTTCAGTCTGCTTTTCAGATTGTAGGATTTCCACAATCTGTCCTCTTCCTTGTTGCTTTCGGAGGAATCCTTTCCTTTGTGTGAATACAGACGTTCTCATGGGCTGATCTGCCGAGTGCAGCCTGAGAGCTGAGGCCAACATCTGAGTCTCCTCAGCACACAAGTTTGAGAGAAATCTTTGCGACTTCGAGCTGGGAGCCCCTTAAATTTTCTTAATCAATGATATTCTTTGGGTTATTACTTTTTCAAAACTGATTATAAACTGGGGCGGGTTAATGGGAATGCATTTTGTTTGTTTATGTGGACATATCAAACCAAACCAAACTCACTGCCACAGAGTCAATTCCAACTCGTAATGCCTCTGTGGATTTCCCCAGCTGTCAATCTTTACAGGAGCAGAAAAGTGTATTTTTCTCCTCACACACTCAATAAAGTCTTTAGAATCCTGGAAAAATGTGTTAAGATAATTTATTAAGATACCAATTTTCGAGTTTCTGTCTTTATTCCTATCCCCCACGATTCTACAAAAATGTCCCACCCTGAGGGGTTCATCTGTCCTAGATTCCCTGCGTTTCCAATTCCCATCTGAACCGCTGTGCATCCTCTGGTCTAACCAGGTTTGTAAGG